TCTTGCTAAGTTACTAATTGATTTGGCTATCGACAGGGCTTATTTATACACGAGGTCACATGTGATGAAGTTTGAGCATCATTATGTCTTCGTATTTTTTTTTGTCGCATGTTTTATAAATGTATTTATTGAATTGTCATATCTAAGATTTTTTTCGCTGTTGTAATTCAAATCTGTCGTATAAATGAGATTAAACATGTTTGAATACTACGTTATTTGATCCATTTTTAGTCTTTGTGACAAAATCACCAGGAAAATTTTTTTCGTGCTTTTTTTGTCCACTGCCACTTTGTTGTTATCACTATTAAGAATAGATTACACTGAAAAGATGCAGTATTCAGCATGGTGTAGAAAGATATACATCCATTATAATTTTTTTCTATATGTTACGCTCGGATGTTACTATATTATTGCATCTTTGGTACTTCTTGGTAAATATTTTGTATGCTTTTTGTTTTGGAAAGGAAAAACTAAAAAAAAATATATCTCTTTTATCTTTTCTTTTAATTTTTACTTGGACGAGTTGTGTTTATGGACGTAGTTGACAAATATTTTCTAACTTTCTAACCTGTTAATTTCCTTATTTCCTTATTAAGTTGAAAATAAACATTTAGTTTTTTGGTGATTCAATAATATAGTGTATTTATGAGTGCTGTTATGCATGGTCTCCATAAACTTTCAAAACAATGTACAAATGATCTTACTGTTGTGATATATATCTGATGTATTTGAAACACAGGATACTGTAGATTGAAAGTATAGTTGAGTTGGGGTATAATTTTAGTGATTAGAACTTTGGGTTAAATTTAACATTTATTACAGTTGGAATAAATTTCAAATGTGTTCTTCACTTGTTTATAACCTGTTAAGTTTTTGACGTTTTAAGCTGCAAAGCTTCAGAGAGTGCTTATAGGTTATGCTTTATCTGATGGGAGTTGTAGCTTAGTGGTGTTTTAGTTGTGAGCGGTACCAGAGGAAAAGCCGAATTGAGGGATGACTCGGATATTGGGGTTGCTTGATAAAGTTTCTAGGTTTCGGATCATGGAACTTGGTAATCTCGACAACCAGTACAAACTGTCTGTTATTGTTTTGTCGGGAATTTGTGCATAAGGTCAGTTAATAGATCCTTTGGAAGATTCGAAACATTCAATAGGAACAGACGAGCGACTTAAGAAATATGAAGCATTTTGGATAACCTGCAATTTTTGTAGAAGGTAGATCGAAACGACAGGATTGGGGAGTTAGAGTATAACTTGGACCTTTTAATTTTGAAGATCTGAGAGCGGCAAAGACCTGAGGTAAGGTTGGTTACTGTTAGCAGTCATGCTTTTATATATGATGAAATGAAACATGATGGTGGTGAGGCAGGGATGGAGAACTAATTTGCTCCAGGTAATATATCTCGCTTCAATTCCTTAAATGATAGTAGTGTTGTATATTATCATATGTAGGGTACCTTCTTTTCGAAATAATGAAGTGTAAATGAATCGTTCAATATTTAAATATTAGGAATCGAATTTCCAAGACGATATGCGACTAAAGACATGGGGAGTGTATGAATGTGCCAATATTGCTGGTGTTGTTTATACGCTATTATTAATCTTTGGTATCTACTTCCTAATATTGTTCTATACATGTCCAGCAACTTATCAGCCTGATCAGTGTGCTCAGGCAAATTGTTTTGGTATTGTCATCATTTTGGAATTGCTCGTCAATTTTCTTTTATTCATCATTTATAGCAGGTATTCATTATTTAGGTTCTAACATTAATAGAATTGAACTTAAGCTTTAGATCTAACATTAATGAAATTGAACTTAAGCTTCGGTATCGGTAGAAAAACATGTTACAGAATTGTGTAGTGTATAAGAATCGCGATTTGTAGTTTGTCTCGGTAGTACTATTCATGCGACAGAATGAAGTGGTGGTACTCATAATTGAATCAGTTCCACACAATTACTTTATAAATTTAGTTCGTAAAATTAAGACTAATTTTCTTAGTTCTGTCAGATGAGCTGATTGGATTTCGCAAATATAATCATCATTTTAGGCGTAATGATCCACAGCGTTGGTTGCAAGGTGTTGCAGTTTTGACAACCGTGAAAGGTGCTGGTAAATACTGTTTAGAATGTAATCGAATAGCACCACTAAGGAGTCATCACTGCAAACTCTGTAATATGTGCATTCTGAGGAAAGATCATCATTGCTTCGTAACGGGTGCTTGTGTTGGAATTGCTAATCAGGTTAGCTAATGGAAAAGAAATTTTGCAGACACCTAAGATGAAAGATGTTAAAAATTAAAAAGTATGGAATGGTGTTACTCATTTTGTTTATCATTTTATAAACCTATTTTAGTCGTTGTTACATGTACTCCGTGGAAAACGGTTTGTGTAATACGCTCAATTACTCAAGCAAAAATGCATTAATTTTATAAGTTTACAAAATTAATAGAGTAACATATTCAAAAAGCTATTATCATTACTGACTGGACTTTATTGTCAGTGAACATTATTATTACTATTATCATCAACAAACCATTGTGAACTACTCATTTTATTTCCTGTCACTTTTCTTATTTTGATTTGATTGTTCTTACTAAAGCAGTTTTAGCGTTTTTTCATCGTTTTTGTCCTATGGGCAAGTATTGGTGCTGCGGTAGGTTCATTTTACAATCTGATGTATTTGCTGCGGTACATGGATTTTAATATTTACCCATTTGGTTGGTTAAAGCTTCTGGCACCGGTTGCTGTCCTTCGGTGGATTATTTCCTATGAAATATTTACCAACACAGCTATTTGCGTTTTATTCAGCATATGCATGGCCACCTCCGTTGTTGCGCTTATCTTTTTTGGTTCACAGGTGAAGTTTAATTTTCCAGCTCCTGTGTTTTTGATTTGATTTTTCTCATTATTGTGCTTGTTTGAGAATACAAGTATGCTGCGGAATGAAATCTTGATTTTTTGAATGCCATTTTATCATTGTCGTCAAATCGTTGTTATTTCAATTGATTCAAAGCGATTTCTAAAATTTTATTTACAAAAAAACTTGCTTAACAAGTTTGTATGATTTTAGATGTTTTATACATTAAATGGTTATACGATGTATGATTATCACACATTAAGCAGAAAAATTGAATTGCATGGTGATGGTGAAACTTATTCAGAAAGGTATGAAGCTAACAAAAGTAGTTCTTGTTGTCGTTATTATCGTTTTCTTTTTATTGTTAAATACTCTTATTATTTTATTTATTCTTTATGGCAACCTAGTCTCAAATTGCACTACTTATCGACCAACGTGTAGCATTTCTATTATTGATTCGCTTGAAGTTTCTCAAAGCTTTCATCATAAAATCGACACTCACTGTTATACCTTTATTTTCTGTTCCCTATGTTGATCCAATCATGGCGTTCTCAAAACAGTTCAAATTAATGAATTCTCTCTAATAAGTATACAAATTGCACGTTTACGTACAGTTTATACAATACAGTACACAGGAAGCCAACGATTACTTTCATGAGCCCATGAACACGCATGAAATTTAATTTGTAACATAAATTCAGTACTATTTAGAAATTCGCACTCGGAAGACTGTCGTCTGTCATTATGATAAGCTTTTTTCTTATCTAGTCTTCCTTCAACTTTCGTTTTTTTCCTCCGGTTGACCTTTGAACTTCCACAAAACACACAATATCGTGAGATCTATTGTGAAGGCCAGTATCAAAAGGCTGTAGGGCAGTTTTTGGTGTCACTTTACAGAGAAAAAAGAAACATTCAGTTTCGCAATAGTGTGTGAGAAAAAGGATGTCGGAATGTCAAAATTCAAGTTTTATAAGTAGAACTTGGATCAGCCTGGAGTGAAGTTTTCCAAGAATTTGGAGATGGAAAACAAAAGGATTGTACATGCTACCGCTATATTTCTCTTTCCAGGTTAAGGATGATATTTGGTCATTATTGGGCGGTGAACTTCATTGTCCCGTTGCTTTGTTTTCCAAATCAGTTAAGTGCAGATGTTGCTCGAAATTTATTTTCGTCTTATTCGAAAGATATGTAATAGCTTTCCGATTTTTACTTATTTACAATATGCATTTATAATTTTGTTCTTCACTTATGTTTATCTGGTTTCTCAGTTTTAACTTTTCAACTTATTTAGTATTGTCCTAACTCAATGACATAGTATAATACTAAGGAATCCCGAGGCACTGACAATTCGTCTTGCTACTAACCTGTAGCTTACTTGTTGCTTTTCTGATTTCATTTGGAATTTTCAGTCATTTTTTTTTTTGACCGCAAAATATTGATTTATTTCCACTGTGATAAATAATATTTCTCCTTCAGGAAAAGTAGGTATAATCGTCCTTAATAATTCAGAGAAAATTTTTAAAAATATTAATTAAAATATTCGACACTCCCTATCAGAACAAGATGAGCTTGTTTACAAGAAAGCCCTATCTTGTTTTCCAAACGGAGAGAACTAGTTGTAGTGAATTTCGCAAATAAAAAATCATACGAATATTCATATGAGATCCAGCTTAGTCGTAACGCAGATCATCTACGAGTGCAAACAATAACAGCAGCAGTTGATCTATGGTATCTACTAATTATATGATTGATTACGATAATAACTCAGACAATCCTCTCCACATCCAACAGTGGTACATAATGTCTTATACTGTTTTTACAGCCAGTCAGATTGATGAATTATGTGATATTTGTCAGTTTGCATTACATTTATAATCTTGTAAATCATTTTTGTCAATTTGCAGTGTTAATAATCAAGTTTTCATAATGTTTACAGCCTATTTTGTATGTATGTATGCCTATTTTTTAATGCTACAATCAATTCTTCATGATATTTACATCTTTCAAAAGGACGGCAATTTACCACGCTGATGACAATATTAGAATTTATTAAAAAACATAAGTAGTGGAATGGAATAGAATTCCAAATTTGAAAGCAAATAGTGGCACTACTTGCTTTCAAATTTCACGTGGATTCGTCTTTTCAATGAGCAAAGACTTTTCTTTTTGCATTGGCCTCAAACCACTCGGACGCACAAACTTTTGCTTGTGTCAAAGGAAGCAAACTATCGAGCACATGCTGTAATCTTTACAAACTATTAAAATAAAACTGTTGAAAACATGAAGCTTATATGTGCAGACTTCCATACAATAAATGAGGTAAAGCTTTAGGATGATCTGAGATACTCTGCTAGGATTTCCATGTCTTGTCTTCCATCGGTGCGCAAATATTTCTAAGAGATGTTGATTGTTAAACGGAAGTAAATAAGCAGTAATGTATGCGATTATAATGAATCCTACTTTATAAACATGATTTAAGTGCTACTGAGTCTAGTTCCAATTTTTAAAATATTAAAGTAACAAAAATTAGCCATTTCAGGATAAGAGAGCCAGGGACTTGAGACAACTCTATTCAGATGATGCATGTTTCAATGATATTCGAAATCACATAAAAAGCTTAAGCTACAGGACTTTTCATTTTCTGGTGCCGAAAATGCCAGATAGGACATTATGCTTTATGTTAACCCAGTTACAGCGTTTTCAAGACAGTTCATACTATTAATACTATTAATGAATTCTGTCTGATAAATGCACAAATTACAAATGATAAATGTACAAAGAAAATTATACGTTTACGTACCTGCGTGTCCCATAAGAAGCCAACGATTACTTGATCATTCGTTTCATCGAGTTCTAGATGTGACGAAAGAGATAGCGAAAAGCGAAAAAATGGGATAGATTGATCATGAGCCCAAAAACGTGCACGTGTCACACATGGTCCATTGGAAGATGTAATCTGTAATATAAATTCAGTACTAGTTATACCGTAAAATGACAGTTGAATGATACTGGTTAGAACTTTGCACTCGATAGATTGTTGTCTATCATTATGGTGAGCTTTTCTCTTCTTATCTACTCTTTCTTCATTTAATGTTCATTACATCTTATGATTGACCTTTGAATCTCCATGAGCAACCCACACAATATCATGAGATAGTCTAGATGCATATGACAGATGTGAATGGTAACGGAGCGCTCTCCGTAGTTTATTATTTTTGGGACGTTCCGACATCGAAGGGTGCCGGGATCAGACTTGGGTATATAATTGGAACTTCAAACAGGACAACAGGTCTGCTTGGTAAATAATCTCAGATTTCATAATGTTTGTGCTCGTGTACAGGACGTTACGAAGACTTAGAGCTCTGAAAACTTATAAAAATTGCCGGGAAGTTCTAGATTTCATCAAAGAATATGGGCTTAATATTAATGATAAAGTAGCGATGTAAATACGTCATTTCTTTACGAGTTAATTGCATCAGAGTACAAGCAAATTAATTCAATCAATTCTGAACAATAATGTCATGCTTGAAGAAAAAGAATGAAGAGATGAAAGAATTTTGACCTGTAATAAAACTTAAAGAGATAATAAAAACTTATTTTTACAAAGAAATTGTGTAAAAAATCATAGAAAACTTGGTGGAACTTAGTCAAAATGCCAAAAATCCAGAAAAGATGTGAATAAACCAACCTGTCCTATAAGATTTTTCAAACTTATCAAATCCTGAAACATAAATGCGCCTTCAACAAGACCTCCAGGCATACTAAAATTCCATCTCATACTTCTCATACTTTCTAACTCTTCAGGAGGCGCTCGACCAGTTCCCAATGATACAATGCAGCCAATATGTACAGTTTCTTTTTTCTGAAATTAAACATTTTCACCGGAGATATGGAGGAGAATCATTTTAAATGAAGACACCAAACCGTTGGACAAGATACTTAATGTTTCGGATCCTTTTGTTAAATGACTGCAAATGAAATGCTTCTAAATTTCTGGTGATTACTTAACACCAAGATCTATAATTTTATAAGCAAGCAATAAAATGATCTATTAACAAATGTCACGTGTTTTTTTGAAATTAAAAAAATTCCAACCATAACTTGCCACTTTCATGCATGCAGCGTTATAAATATGTATGTCTGACATAAGATCAAGTGTTGGATTATTCGATATTAATCCGCCATCAATAAAATTATCTTTCGGTGTAAAGAACGTTGGAGCAGCGCTACAAAATATAATCATTGCAAAAAAATATAAAGCTTTCATTTTTCGAGTCAACAATTCTCTCTTTCTTTTTTCACGTCCGTTAATTGCAATCGACAACATAACAAAGGTATAATTAAAGAGTATATCTCTTTTATGTGTATAAAGTGATATTAAGTAATGAAGTGATTAACAAATTTCATATGCTTTTTTGAAATAAAAAAAGAATTTTTCAACAAATAAATAGCCATTTTCATATTATAACGTTATAACATGCCGCATTACAAGTTAAAATATATTACAATCTAAAACCATCACGCTATGTTGACACTAGAACCACTGTAATCTATATAAACTTAACCCACCAGAAATCCTTCCTTCATCATATAATGCTTGAATTTACAAAGCAACTTAATTCTAGCAATTTCTACTATTTTCAGTAAATATGTATATAGTAAAACCACGCGTTGACAACTAAATAAATTATCTCGACCAGTATAAAGCCTAACATGAAGATTCCTAGCTTTTTTAGTACCTGATGCATTATGACTCATATTTGCTGACCATCGGAAAGAACTGACTTTACCCTACAACAAAAAAATCCAAGCCATATGTACATCCAGCTATCTATTACGCATAAATATCCTCAAACATTTCTTATATATAATTTCAGTAGATTAATAAATATATGAAGTGATTAAGCATCCATGGCTAACCTGGAATATCGTGCACATTTCCATACTAAATTCTCACGAGGATCATCAAATCCCAAAGCTTTGTTTTCAGCTTTGCTAACTGGTAAAGTATAATTGCGAAAGAGTTTTAACAGCGGTGGCTTTTTTGTACACATGAAGCCGTTACAATAACCCTGAAAATAGAAAAAGGAAAATAATTTGTCTCAAGTATGATGTATAAATAATATTTTTTGTATTACAATTTAAAATGACAGCATTTAAGATAGTAAATAAATTGTAATAAAAGTGTTATTTGAAAGAAAACCCTACCATAACATGTCTTATAAATTTTTCATTATTACAGATTTTCCTAAATTAGCAAAAGACAAGTCAACCTTCTTAATTTTTTTACTTTGCTTATGCAATTAAATTACGTTCTTTCACATCTTTTATCGGTCCATCATTTAGTGATCTATGAGATAGGCAGATTGATCCTTGAAATTTAAAGACAGTGTTACACGAATAAATCAGTAGTAAAAACTGCACCTTATAAATGATTGCTGAGTAATAGAGAAGTACAGTAAAACTTAGAAGGAAATACAAGAAAAATAATTTTCTAAAAAATGAAACTAAAGAATACTTTTTGGATCTTAACTGCGCCATCACTGTTTCCTCCCCAAAAATTTCACAAAAAAAACTTTCGATCATTTTGTCTGAATAAGGTCGTCGACCAACAAATAGTTCATCTTTTATGCGTAGATAGAGATTTTGACAATGCTTCAATGAATATCCTGCAAGGAGACTTTTTTTTTAAAAAAATAGGACGAGAAAGAGAAGAAAAAGTACTATGCGAACTTACAATTTGTATACTTATATAAAAGTTGAGAAAATAACACTTAATAATATAAATGTCAAAAATTTTGGATTTGAAATTAACAAACCTTTTGCTAGTCCCAGTGCGATCACTGCTCCAGTACTAGTTCCGCATAACCACTGAAAATGTTCCATAACAGAATGACCCAACAATTTCTCAATATGCATCAATATCTGAAATAGAATAATTTAGTCGAAGGGAGCGGTTACTGCAAAAGCCGATTAACGAAGGGATAAGGAAAGGTTGGTTAACATAATGAATGGTTTTCTCTATGATTATTACATTTGTCTGCTATATTTAACCACTCAATTTATTTTACTCCTTATTTTTTATCGTAGGCCCAGTTTAATACAACTGTGCCAATTTCAATACATTATATTCATGCCTTCTTCAACACACCTCCAATTTGAATAAACAAGCAAGATGTATATAAACATTATTATAAGACTTCTTAGACACTTTATGCTTGAATGCCGTTGCAGAAAGAAAGATTTTTTTCACTGTTTTGAAACAGACACCTGCTCTGTGAAAGGCAACGCAGCATATTTAGCAGCTCACTACTTATTCCTTTAATTAAAGGACCAGATGGTAAGAGAAAACAATTCCCTATAGCAACAGAAAGCAGCAAAAATAAAATCAACAGAAAGAACTAATTTGAAAAATACCTGCAAAAGCATTAAGCCTCTTATTCCACCACCATCGAAACTTATTACATTGACTAATCGCTGCTTTTCTTCTGGTGTCATTTGCTGTCGTTCCACTAATGCTTTCTCTTGCATAAGATCAGAAAGAACTAAAATTCATTTCCTATAAAATAATCATTAAAAGCTGAAGTCAAAACGGTCAAAACTAAAGAGATTTGCAACAATTGAAATTGAATTTTTAATACCTAGATGAAAAGCCAAAATTGATCGTAAACTTCTTGAAATTAAAAAAAAATAGCTAAGCAAGACTAAACTGTTTACAAAACATGTGCTGAATTTCAAAAAAACGTACCGTTTTCTAAATGGGGTAGAACGACTGATGGTGAGTGAACGAAGAGTCTCAGACAATCCATAATTTTTGTGCTGAATTTGTATTAAATTTTAAGATCTGTTATTATCAACGAGACATTCACAGTTCTTGAACAAAATTCTCGAAGGGATCCTCATTAAAAAAGTACCCGATATTATTCGCATAAAAAGAGTTAGGCTAAGAGCACAATTAAATGTCAAGTGGTTGAAAACATATTCAGCAATCAGAATTAAAATCAGTTACTTTTTTAATTCCACTCCTCAGAGAAGTTTCCAAATCTAAATGTATCTCAAAAAAAAAAAAGCACTTGTTTCTGCCAACATCCAAAGCTGTTTCTCCACGACCATTCTTCTACTAATGCTCCAAAACATAACAACAGCTTCACAAGATCAACGTCCCCATTCTGAAAAAGTTATTTCCGAAGAATACCAATATAAAAGCATTTATACTTTATCCTTTGATCTATTCGTAAGTACTTTCTCATTCTTTTGAATATTAGCAATAAGAACACATAGCTTCAAGACCCATAACAATGCTCCGGAAATTTGAAACAATTCGGGAAGATATGAATTCTTATTGCAGAGAAATAATATTTGTCCGATTAACAATCGGTAATTTCAGTAATCTCAAAATGATTTCTTTAATGTCTAATCTAGAACGGCATAATTATTACCCGTAGCTTGTTGAGAATAAGAATACCTTGGAAGATACATGTAACGGGGTATTCCCGTCATAGTTTGCAATATTTAAATCAGCACCATAAGTCAGCAGCGTAAAACTTTGTGACAAATTTCGTGCTACAGCACAGTATAGCGGTGTTTGACCCAAATTATTTCGAACATTTATATTAACGACATTCCTAAGATCTCCCAGAATATGGTGTAACAACTGCAACGCATTTCTTTCCGAGAAATAAAGGAATGAGATAAATAGTTCTTTTTTTATCGTGAGTGCATTATATTTCTTGCTTTCTCATTGTTATGAAGTTCTTTTCATGAATTTGAATTAATGCGGCAAAAACTATTGTACCAAACCAAAAAATATAAACTAGATACAAATATTCTACTTCAACATAGACCAACTTGGTACATTGAATTACATGACCAAAAATAATCATAATTATCATGTTTTTATGAAGTTGCAAATATACACATGATTAAGCCTACTTTTGATTCCAATTTTTCATGGAGTATAGTCGATGAACCATCGATCTCTTCGACTAAAAACTGTGGAGCTCGTATTAATAATAAATCGACTATCTTTGAAAGAAATTACTAATTTTTTTGAGTTCTTGCAAAATTGAAATCTGGCCATATTAACAACCACTAGCTTTGAGGAAAGAGTATTAAAGAAATATACTGTGAATCTCAAAAGAGAGAATAGAAAGAAATAGGGTAAATAGAAAAGACAGAACAAATACCTCGGTAAATCTGGTGATAAAGCAACCATAGAAACCATGGCCGACAAAGAACCACCTGGGAAAGGACCAGTTTGAACAGTTTGCATCCAACAACACTTCCACACATTTTGCTTTGGCTAAACGAATAGCATGACAAAGTGGTGACAAGCCATCTTTGTCAATTACATCAATAGCGTCCAAGAAATCGTGAGCCCCAGCTAACAACTGAAAATAACAAAAAGCAATGTTATTAGTGTACTACAACAGAAGAATGCAACAAATTATGCATAGGAACAGCAACAGAATCACTACCAAATAACATACCTTCAGTACTTCTGGATTATTCCCCGCACCATAGTGCACAGCATTTCTGGAATGACAATCCTGTTTTGCAGTATGAGCACCTAAACTCAGTAGTACTTGTACAGCTTGTTTAGCATCATTCTCTACTGCTATGTGCAGTGGATAATAGCCATCAATGGATACATCATTAACAATGCTGCAAAGAAGTATTTTATCTTGAACGGTCTGAGCAAAACTGTGTTTCTTATTAATTCTAAAGATGATAAATCGTCATAAGATAGGAAAGGAATTATTCAGCACTATATTTTATGCTGGTTTACTGGATTTAGTCCTTTTTTTTCTCTTTCCATCGAAAAATTACAAAGCTAGCGCTTTCTAGTAGTTGTTTCTATAAACTAACTTTTGTGATATTTAATAAATTAAAAACTTTGAATTCTTAAAAAAATTTTCAAAACACACCTCACTGTGATACTACTTTTAGTTATGTCTCAATTTAACTACATTTCAATAGTTACCGTTGCCAGTAAACATCTGAAATTCTGTTATTTCTGAACAGTTCCTAATAAATAAACGTACGCGCTTCAGAAATTTTTCTTTAATGCCCTGTTGAATCAAACTTTATGAACCTTGGACGATTCTTGCACAATCCAGCGATAACTCTCAGGAAATTACAAGCAGCTGCATAATGTATATCATTAAAACTGGGATTTTTGATCACCGAATCTCTCAACTGTTCCATCTCAGCCTCGAAAAACTTAGAACTTATTTTTTCTGAAAAAGAGTCGGTGAACACTGCGTATGAATTATATCGTATAAAAGGGAAACTTATGAGCCAATTTAACTTTTCCTGGATGCTCCACATACTATCATTCCAGCAGACGTTCGCTGTTGACTAATCACGCTACTACTTAGATGAGTAGATGAGGCAAATATCCAAGAAATACCTTATAATTTTGTTCAATACGCTTTTGAATTTTCAAAAATATTACCTAGAATATTAACAAGTAGTTTTAGACTGTTCAACTGATTTCTTAGCAATTCTGCTTGGTGACGTTCCTGCGTGCGCCAAATCTTCAACGATCTCGGCAAATAAACAACGTAACATGTCCCACCCTTTGGTTTATCTACATATAGTGCAAACGTGTAAGAATTATCACATTTTTCGAAGGTTTTCAACTTCGAAGCATCTATGGCTTCCACCTGAATAGAATAATTGTTGTTCAGTCCCATCCAAAAAAGAAACTACCACAATTTTTAACCTAATTCAACAGATATCGTTTAGCTAGCAACTATTCGTTATAGCGGCTATAAAAAATACATTAGCATCTCGCACACTTACTAAACTGTCCGATAGTTCTGCACGGTATCCTGCAGTAATGACTTGACAATATTGCTCAATTTGGAAGTATTTCGAAACAAATTTGAACCTTTTCTGGTTTCGATGAAAGAACAGCAGCAACAGCCCTGTGCCACACGCATTCACCACCGCTTCGCAATTTTGCATCGTTGCCACATCACGAACCTTTTTTAAGATTCCAAACATAGTCCCGCGCTTCAAAAATCTTTTCATTCTGGACTGGTAAAGTTTTCTTGCAGGTGTAATCAGATGAAACGAAAATTAATGCAGAACACATTCTTAATTTCCATTTTATAATCTGATTCCTTTATGAACAATCTCGCTCATATATAAACCAGTGTTTCTTCTATGGAATGCAGTTATCTTGACATCCGGTAATCTCGCCGTTCCAAAATATGACCCAAATAGTAAACAAGATCACTACGCTTAATTCCACAAAAATAACAAAAGCTTATAATGGACATTCTGCACACACCTAAGAAAAATAAATGCCTAAATCCACTTTCTTTCCTTTACTTCTGATTAAAGCGAAACCTAATACTTCTACTAATGGTAAGATAACGATTAAAGTCAAGAGAAAAAGTGAGTCGCAGGAAGTATACTAACCTTCAGTGCATTTTTGTTATATTAAATATAAATGAAAAGAACTGTCACTATAAGGATCGAAAAAAATTCATAATAACACAGCATTCTAAAATTTTACTGTTCTAAAACAGTTTCAAATAATTTATTGCATTAGAAACCAAGAAACTATATTCATGAAAGAAAAGATAGTACTACAGAATTAACAATGGTCGCAAAAGACGAAACGATTGCTGTACATATGAGAATGAATCTCCCGCTGCTAGAAAAACCGCTGTGACCAGTTCTTCTATCTGCAAGAGATAAATAAAATTAGCATTATATGAGAAACATGAACTACATCTTCGTTCAAGCAAACCAACATTATTAGCTGAAAATTAAAACACTGAATATAATTGTTCTGAATTATACTCAACATAGTATTCTAAAACTCCTCAGTCACTCAGCTTCACTTTTAAAAATAAAATGAACAAACAAGTAAATAAAAACATGTATGCCGAATAAAAAGAAATGAAGATTGTAAAAATATGTAACCAACGCATATTAACACAAGCAAATAAGCTTTCTCTCTCTCTCTCTCTCTCTCTCTCTCTATATATATATATATATATATATATATATAAGTATTTTCCAAATCATATATATACATATATGTAGAGAGAGAGAGAGCGGAAATCCTAATTTACAAACATATGGACATGCATACGCAGGAAAACATTATAAGCAAGAAACAAACTTCTTCAGAAGGTGTATCAACTGCGCTAATATGTTGAGCAAACTGATTACTGAAAAATGAAATTTGTCGTCCAATTAGGCTATGGAATTCAGAAAATGGTTCCTGCTTCACTGTTGTAGTCGTAATCAATAGCAGCTGTCCCAGTTTATGAACTGACTGCACACTTTCAGCGGTAAAATCAGCCAAACATTCTACACATGATAACATGAGATTTCCGAAATAAGATAGAGCGAGAGTATAAAAATGCCCTCGATTTTTATATTTTTATTTGAAATTAAGATTAAGTAATTTCTGAAGAAAAAGAATTACCAAGTTTAGCTTAACAAGCCGAAAATACCTAAGAAAAGTTCGAAAATCTGATCGCTAGAATCCGATCTTTCCAAACGTTCTTTACATCGTCTGTAGGAATCTATCAGACCCGAATCCTAAAAAATAATCGCATAAGACAAATCCAAGATCATCCATGAAAACAAACAACATATAAAAGATAACATAACATCTCGGAAATATGTCAACACTGGTACAGAACATAATTTCAGTATCCCTTCATCCAACAACATAAAACAAATGGAAACCAGCCTCACGTTGTAAGGTAGAGCGATGGATAACAATATTTCTTTGAAATCTTCTACGAAATTTTCCTGTTGATTCTCCTGATATTCCTCCAAAGTATTTGCCAAATCATCAGCAAAAATTCCGTTTACTTCACTGGAAAGATTAAAAACCTGAATAATGAAAGGCTGAATTTTAAACTACAGAATCCAAAAATCAGAAAAGAATAAGAAAACTTAGGTGACTCAATAGCCACCTTCTTTAATATGATTTCCAGCATCTTTTTTTCTTTTGGTATGTTTTTGGACAACAAACGCTTCAACTATGCTTTCCAGTATAAAAGGGAGCTTTCCAAAGTTACAGAATATAAATTAGTGCATTGGAACTCAGAAATTCAAGATAAAAAAAATTTAAGAATGATAAAATACCTTCTTCTTTGTGGTGGGATTTTTCTTAAATGATTTTTCGAAAGCATTTCGAGGCCTTCCAGATGAAGCATACCACTAAATTTCTCGAAGGAATCAATAAAAGTCAGTTCGCGCTTTGAAATATAACTAGTTTCAAGAGCCGCTTCTTCTGCTCGATTTTCACGTAGCTCTCGCAAAACTTCGGACAAATTTTGACCTCTCTCCGGTTCGAAAATAAATCGTCTTTTTTCGGAGCCCTAATTTTTAAATATTCCGAAATGAGAAATCGATAACATGTAACTCATATCAAACTCGAAGCAAAACAATGACACACTTTATTTCTTCCATATGTGCACTATTACTTCATGCCACTGTATAATTAAAGAGTCGCAAACCTGTTCCGGAACAGTTAGCTTTTCAAATGTCTTCTTACCAAGTGCTTCAAGTACATCTAATGAACCCGTTACAACGTTAGCCCCAAAACCTGCGAACAACTTGCCATACGATTTTATACCAGAGTTAGTTACTTCCTCTCTTTCCTGCAAAATCTAGCACTTTGAGTCTTTGAAACGAGAATAGAATTTAATTTCGAGTTTTAAAACACTGTAATAAACTAATATATTCTGAAATCAGAATTAGTAGGAAATCAAGATTAAATTCATCAGAGATAAAACGAGCAGCTGTGAAAAAAAAATGCCAACTTTCGTAATCACTGCAGAATTATTTGTAGATCTCTCTACCGATTGGTTTCTTACCAGTTCTTCTAGCGCCGGCAATCCAAGGCCTGATTCGACAGCACTGGATATGTTTGTTAGGCCTTCACCTCAAAACGTAACATTCATTAGGTAGCAAATAAAAGTAGAATCCAAAGCATTTGAAGAAAAAATTAGAAAAAGTACCACCAACATGCTGAATTTCACCAGTGGTGTGATATAAGCATTACTCACCAACAGCAGCGACCACATCTCCAAATTCGGCCCAATCCCAGAATGATTTATTTCCCTTGATAACTTCTTTTGTTTTTATTCCAGCCTGAAACATATAAAAACTGAGTTTTTCACAGAGTTAAAGACGGCATGGAAGTCATTAACTCCGTACTTAATTTGAATGCCATTTCAATTCAAAAAGTGACTTAAATTGAGACCATATGTCAATCTTCTGAACAGGATTTATGCGAAGGAGACATTATTTGTCTACTTGTAAGATATTCAGTGATTAGAACAAAGGGTACTAAAAGATCAACCTTTGATTTCGAATTAGCAATAACTCCATTTTCCACATCAGATGTTCGCATCCGCGACGGTTCACAGTTTTTATCTAAGATTCCGCCATCATTACCATCTTTTCCTGAATAATCCAACTCCCAGTCATCCCACCCGTCATGACCATCAGTGATTTTTTCTTCTGATCGATCTGTTTTTCCTGTTATATTGTCATCATCCACATTGTTCATAATCTCCGATACATGTCCCCACTCAGAACCCTTACTCCCAATTCGAGACATTTTATGACTATCTATCCTAAACTCCTGCACTCGTCTGCATTTTGAAGGTTTGTTGAAAGTTGGTAAATTCCGAAACATTTGTTTCTTCCGGTTTGCTTCAGTTACTCTGGATTTATTGTCAGAATACTTATTTTGTGTTTCATTGGATCCACCGAATTCATATTTATTATCTCGGGCTGCGTCGACCCTCTTCCCTTCACCAACCTCTTCATTCTTTTGGTTAATGGCACCGGTAGTGCTTGCATCGTCCCGATCCGACAAGCTATCGACAGCACTGTGAAATGATTCCGTATCCGAGTCAGTCATTCTAAAATTATACACAGCATTAGATTTCAGAACACACTGACGGTATGAAACATTCATAGGCGTTACGCACATTAATGACAGTGAGATGGCTTGAATGACGCATACGCTCTAACATCTAAATAATTTTGCGAATCCGAAAGGAGCTAGAGGTATAACCCTCTTCTCTTTCTTCGCCATTAATATTCCACCGTAAAATACTCATCGGCCTGGGCCGGAAGTTTCAATAGGGTGAGATTATGGTGCTACGAATGTGACGACCGCACGTATAATTAACTTGTATAAGATACATGATTTATGGACAATAACACCGTAAAGGTTGGTTACCTATCGATAGGGTTCCCCTATGATACTTGCGACAGAAGGACGATGCGAACACGATATCCAACACGGCTCACCGTTTCATGCAAGCAGCATAACACTACCACTTTTAAGCAGAATATACTGCACAGATTCCCTGCTACTTACAGTCTTACATTACCGTTTATTCTCCCACTCATAGTTTAAAACAATTTACAGCACTCAGGCTTATGGTAAAACATCCAGAAGAGAAATGTGGTTCATGGGATCTTCTTTAAAAAATATTCCGATTTTTATTTCTGTTAGTAATTGCAGCAATTGATAGATGATTGGACGGCTGTCTTATACTAGTCCGGAACCTGATACATTGTGGGGGGTTTTAGGCTATTCCAGAAATAAACTTCACAAATGTGATATTTTTGTTACAAAAAAAGGGGCAAGAAATTTATTCGGAGTTTAATTTTTGCTAATTACAGTTTTGAAATGAAGTGAAATCTCGATTCAGCACCGAATCTTCTGTGAAGATATCCGAGGAACCGTTTCCAGCAGAGCTGGTCTTTCTTGGTTTTAGCAAAAATACAGCATCGTCAAGATGGTAAAATGGCTGGAATATTTGAAATTATGGATTTCAGATCGTTTTTAAGGTTTTTCTTTTCAGGAAATCCTAGATCAGCGACGGTTTTAACCTTAAGAAAAGTTATGATCTTTTGGAAGGTCTGGAATGACTCTTCAGCAAAAAAAAAAAAAAAAAAAAAAATCAAAATAAAGTAGACTGTAGGATCAACTCTTCTGAAATCTCCTTCGCTTAAATATGGCAGTTTGCCCCATTTAAGTAACTCAAATCCTGCTGGTTCCAGAATATCTGCGACTAACGAACCCGCCTGCTCTTCGAACGTTTCACCTTTGATCGTGATTTTTACATCTAAAAAAAAAATTTCGTGCGAACCAAAATGACCATAATTTTTTGGGTATTCTGGTGTAAAATTTGATCCTGAAAACTTCATACAGAAGCGAATACATGCAAATTCACAAATATGAATAACCTCTACTGATCTACTTGTAAAATATATCGCGAAATTATATACAGGTAATAGAAGCCTCTGAAAGAATACACGATACCTGGTCGATTTGCTCGACTTGTAGGATGAAATTCCACATACTGATGCAATGGTAAGACAACAGTCAACAACAGCAATGATTCTGAGCGTAGAGTTACTGAGTGTAGTTGAGCTAATAACAAAGATGGATTGTAATGACGATCTAGCAGATTGAGTGCTGAAACCAAATGATACGTCCCATACTGATACCACATATTCATTGGAACAACTTTGAATCCACGTTGCTTCAAGCGCCATTCCATTATCTTTAATAACAAGAAAGGATAAAAACCGAAAACTTTAAATGATCAGAAATGTAACTTTACGAATCTCTGTTCGTTAATTCTTCCGTAATTTGTGACTTATATATTCACAATACCATGTTTAGCACTCTCCTTGCTGCAACTATCAAATTAGCACATGCGTTATCAAATTAGGGATATATTAAAACGGAATGCTAACAGCTCAAATAATCATCGGCAGACTTATTATATTGGAACAAGCCTAATTCAAAATCCAAAATGAGATTTTCTAATACCCAAAATAGGCGACTGAATCACTAAATTTACCTTCGACGCTTCTGTAACTGAAACAGTTCTATATAGTTGTGCCATTATGGTAGTTATCTGACCATCTCCAGCACCCAAATCCAGAAGCTGAATGAAAAGACTTCCACTTCACATAGAAGTTAACTGCATTAGAATAAAGACCCAAAAGAACTTCCTAAATTGTTGAAAAATTCTGAAAACATTCGAAGCAGTGCCAAATCCGGATACAAAAATGTAAGAAAGAAATGATATCTGATTGAAAACTTCAACCTCTTTATCGTGAGAAACCCATTCAGCTGAAACGTCCAAAAATTCTTGCAACTGACTGAGGGAGAAAAGATGCATACCACCTCGACCCAGGACACCATTAATGCTTGTTTTCGTCAGTACTATTGACAAAAACGAAGTAAGAAATGTATACCAGACCTGAAATTTATAAAGCACTCTTTAAAAATTTCTTTAAAAAAAGTACCCTAAAAAAAGTAATAAAAAATTTCGGAAAACATTGAGATACTTAATTTGTTCAGTAAAAGCAAAAATTAATGATTTCTGATGACTTTATCTTTACCACACAGGAGCGATTTCATAACATTCATAACATCATCTAATATTGTAGTCTCTACAATAGAAAATCAATGGAAAAGAAAATCCAAAAAGCAGCATACCTGGGAAGGATTAACGATTTAAAGTAAATTACTATATGGATAAAAAATTAGAAAAGCATCCACATGAACCATCATTTACTCCAGCAGTCACCAAAATACAATTTTTTTTTTCAAGGTACAAAAATCTTCCTTTCCTTTCTAGAGTTCATTGAGTAAACCGTCTTTTATAGAATCATTTTGCATTTGACTTCGTTATTTCTTTCAAACATCACTGACAAGATGATAACCGGATATTAATACCATCGAAAAACCGAAATAGGAAAGAAGTAAATAGAATCAAAAGTAAAAAAAGACATGCCTGTAAACATAGTGAATTACTAGTCTCACGAGAATCGTTTAGAAACGTTTCCACACCATCATCCATGGAGAATTGATGGAATTTTTTTTGCATATACGAAGTTACAGCATTCCTTGAAATCAACAACAGCAATTGGCACATTTCCATTCCCTTCCCTCGATTTACAACAAGTTCTGAATCCATTAGACTAATTTGACGTTTCTTCATCTGTATGGTGATTTCAGTGACATACCTGTCAATACAATACCACTCGGAATGATCAGCATTAAGCAGACAATCATCTAGTTCTTCCTTTTCCAACAACAAACGTGTAATTTGCTGACTCCGAAACATTGATGTTAATGCCACCTCATTTAGAATTCATCAAAATAGCTACAGAATTTTTTAACCTGAAAATAATCCATCAAATCTTCTATGCCAATAGTTAGTGAAATAACAACTGAAACTCCGATGATGTAACACCTGACCAATTTTATAAGTCTGAATTACAAACTTATCAAATGAAATAATCTTGTCAGTTTATACCCAAATGAAACTGAAAAAATGAAGTGCTATACTTAATTCAACATAATAACATGTTCAATACTTGGTACACTACAACATTCACTCGAGAGAAATAAAACCTCAATGATGCATTTCAGATCTAAACTTTATGAATTCAAATTTTAACTTCATAATTCAGACCCGAAGTAATACTGAGGTTTTCGGAAGAGTAATAGCTTCTTATAAATTAGTGAAACTAAAATCAATACTCTATATAACATACAAATTATAGACCGATAGGAACAGAAACACAAATATAGTTGGTTCAAAATATTCAAATATTCAAAAGATTGTAGAATTTAACTCAAACCTTAAATCTCTAACGTAACTGGCACGGGGCATTATATGATGTAACAAAATAAATTGCACATATGATGATGCATGCAGTGCAGTCTTACGAAGAATATGGTAAACAGAAGAGGGGTGAAGAGTACAGTTCAGTTGACGATAAACTATATTAAGTAATGGTTCAGGGAATTACAAGGTTAAATTGCACAGTAAGACTAAACTATCTTCCTACTTTATTCAACAACTATTCACAAATATATATGCATACCTTTTGTTAAACGTATTACTTGGCGAGACCACGTGCACCTGCCCCAACGTATACGCTCTAAATCAGATGTTAACAAGCGCCGTATACGAATTACTTTTCGTCCGATGAGTTGTTCGAATATTGTTCGTCTGTCTCGATATGCAGAACTGACTCCTGTATGTGTCCTGGAAACTTTATCTTCATGTCATTTAATTGAATGTGGCGATAGTGATCCAAATTTAAAAGTCTAGAACTCAGCTTTGATAATTTTTCGTTATATTTAGTTTATTTCACTTTTAGTTGTAATGTTTTGAGTTGAATACTTAATTCCTATTTTCGAGATCTTGCAACTGATCTTATTTTGCAATCGTTTGGTCCGGATCACACTGTTTACATCTTTCAAGCTATCCGTGATCTTGACAAAAAGCGAATTCAAATCTGTCAAACTATAAGCAAGCTAGAAAGGACTTATATTCAAGTTATCCACGGAAGTATAGAAAAAAAGGGGGATGGAATTCGCGATATTTTCTGAGTGGATTGTAGCATCGACTATGTTGAAAATTTGCGTTTTCCATAAAAAATGCAAATCTTCATCTTAAATGAATTGTAATCTTTTTCCAGATAATTCATTCATCTCTTCAGTGATGTTTAGTTTCTCATCCCGAACATCTGTAAACGAACATGAATGATTCATTTCCTCTTTCAGTTAGTGATTCATTTGTTTCAATTTGTTTTTCTGATCTTTAATCAGTCTAAATTTTTCGACACTGGTAATGATCATAATAGTCTTATGAACACATGCGGAAGGCATCCAACTGCAAATTATTTGCTAAATTTTCCTTTTCCCTTCCCTCAATGCGATAAACAGTATCCGTTTTGCTTATCTAAAATTTGTGAGGATTAGTACTCTGTCATTACGATAAAATGTCCAAATCGGACTTTTTTGTGAATTAAATATCTTTTAATCATAAAAGATTAGTTCAGTGTAATGACATATTTGTATCGTATTTTCTTATTTTACTTGAATTTTTTCCACTCATTTTTTTTTTCCATTCTATCAAGAAAGTCCAGTATTAAGTGAATTTCTGTTATGTTATTATCCATCCAAACGGCATAACATTATCAAGTGGGCGAGGAAATAGTGGGAGTGTAAACTAAATGGGAGGATAATTTAGATAGTTTGAGTGTGAGTGATCTGATAAGCAGTGATTTGAGACAAAGAAAAAATGATCTGTTCATGTTCGAAATAAATCCGTAGATTAAGGCGGTCGGGGATTCTCATCGAAATCTGGTCTAAGATTAAAACAATGTAGGAATTTCCGAACAATCTGTAAATTTCATTGCAGCAATGTGTTGATACTGACAAAAGGACAAAGATCGGCGACTGTTTGTTATGTTAAAAACAATGCCTTTGGAGAAAATAGGATGATTTATGTGCTTTGGAAATGATCATTAACTTTCTAGTCTTCAACAGTTGATCAGTCGTCACCATCAGTGTCCTTCACAATAATATTCGATCGATGGCCTTATAATGGCACCCTGTTTTTTAAATGGCATTATTACAGTACCGACCACTTTTGGGTTATCAACCAATAAGATATTACAAAGTACGTCCCGTTTTTTTCTTTTCCTTCTGATAACGGTGAAAACATTTCCATTTTTCACTTTTTTTTTCGAAAAATTCAACACTGATTATCGTTTCCTAAATGATTTTGGGAAAATATGAATAATTTTTGTGATTTACTTAATATCTGAGCAGACTTGTCGATAGATTCACCAGCAAAATATGTGCTAGATGGAATATGTGAGATTCATTACAAAAACTGAGAACTGTAAGAAATTTGGTTCAGATTAGTTAATAATCAGTTTGAATTTGTGGTGTACTATAGATTTCTGTGGAAAAATATGTGCAAATAGTAGTATTAAAACAAATATGGAGATCTAATTGTGGATCACGTGCATTACTCGGTTGGTATGGGAGCGCCTTATTCATGGTGAAGACGATGAAGAAATATGGTACTAGAAATAATAAGTCGAGACTGGAGCAATCTTTATATGGTTTTCGACATGTAATTACATTGATGAAACCAAGCATGTATCTACTTTTATTCCATTCCATCGTCGGCTGAAATGAAACTGGTATGTTGATGGTATTCTACTGCTGTAATAATTTTCGTACTGACCTGTAGGTAAGAAATAGCACTCGGACTTCAAATTTAGTGCCTTTTAGCATTTTCCATTGATCATCGAACTTTTAGTATTTTTTTTAACGCTTGGAACCATTATCATGTTTCATTAAAATGTATGGGAATGCCGTAGATAGGTTTATACGAGGAAGTAAAGATAAAGTTTAAAAAAAAAGTGGGTAAAGGTACAAGGGACTGAAAATGGAAAATAGAGAAAAGGAGCGAGAATAAGTTGACGGTATGAAGACTTGTTGAACGGGTTTCTCAAGTTTTTACTTTTTGTGGAAAATTTTAACCTGAAAATATTTACACATTGTGTTTCATTTGCTACTAAATTCTTCAAATACTTATTGCAGAAATTGAACAAGGAGTGTGGACAGTAGCAGACAAAAAGGAAGAAAGAACGGAGAACGGTTTCAAATTTTTGTCTATGTTTGTTTGGTGGTCAAATGTCAGGAGATCACAGTAGCCCCGCGATGAGATCATTTTATCGTAGCAGCTTGATTGTATTTCATCGTAGCACCTGGGATAACTTGTATCAATCATTTGTCAAGCGCAGGAAATCGATTAATACGAAAAAAATGACAGGTAAAACAATGCCTTTCTTCCTACTCGTTTAAAGTGGATTATCCCATCGATCATCTTTTAAGGTAAGTTTTTTTTTGGTTTAACAATTTTAAAGATCTCGTATTAGTTTTTTGCCTCTGGGGGAGGGAAGGGTGGGAAGAAAGAGAGGGATTTAACTTCTATTGAATAATTGGTCAAAAATATTAATTTTTACTAATTTTTTCGAGCTTTTGGACGTTATCAAAATTTTTATTCTAACATTTTTCCTTACAACTATTATTTTCCCGGTTTTCTAAAATGTCAAGATTCATTTCAAACGTTCAAATTTTTAATATTAGGATTCTAGATAGTTCTATGTAGTAACGTATTCTAATTGAAATTCTAATTGAAACTTTCAAGTGAACAGTTTTTCACGGCTATCATTAGGTTTCTTCAGGAATTTAGTGTCACATCGTAATTAAGTTTTCTAGCATATCGTCAAGCGAAATAAAATAGGTATATATATGACATTTACGATTATGATGTTAAGATGTCTTTCTCTCAGGAATTCTTCGTTTTTTGCCCATTCAAAAACGATCTTTGTTACCTTAACCATATCCTATCTTGCAAATTACTGAGTCATGAAAGAAGTGAATGGAATCGTGAAAAAAAAGGGAACGGAAATGAGTCTTTCAGGTTTTTGTTTTCCTCGTTATCGATCAGTATCATCAGTTTATTATCCTATCCATTCTTTTTTATGGATCAGGATCTAGCCTGCACATTTTACAGTTCTGATCCTAAATACAGATTAATGTAGTGAATAACTAGGTTACACTCATTGTAGGACTTACCAATCAATTTCTTAATTAAGGACTCCTAATGCTTGTTCCCGAATAGTCCAGAATAGAGATTTGATTATATCATAAAGGATGACAGAGAAATACTTGTATGCTTTCTCTGAAGATGATGTAGGCAGTATAGTCTTAGGATTAATCGGAAATACTGCTTTTGAAAATATTTTCAAACATATACTCGGCTGTAATATAAACAAATTATTTATAGAAAAAAGCATACTGAAAGCTTCTTTTCTCCACATTATAGGTTTCCCAGTTTGAAGAGGCCATTTCCTAATCGATCAACAAGTATTTTGCTCATTTCAGATGCGCATACGACTGCTGAAGAGGTCAGAGATAAGGAACAAGCATCGTTCTTTTCTTTACCCACAACATCCGCCATGACTTCATTGCCAGATGTTGAGGATGATGGAGCTGGGCCCAGTAGCATAGAACTTCCAACAACACCTATAACGCTGACGCCATTGGTCTTACAACGCACTGAGTCAAGTACATCGTTTCTTTCGCGGTTGAGTGGTCGATTAAGACGTTCACTTCATTTGCCTTCGAATAAACGTGAACAGTTCGTGAAGTTTCTAAGAGGTGACGAAGTGGCGGTCTGCGAGGAAGTGAGACAGTCATTGTTTCACGAATCTCGTGAGGCAAGCTTTTTATTGTATTCATAGTTGACAACTCAGTATCAAGTGAATCGAAATTCAATTTCTGTTTGAAAATTATTGAGTTAATTTTGGAATATTGATTTGCCTTATGGGTTTATTTCATATCTATTCATAAATCCTTCCCAACAAATTTAATAACTATAACTGGCTAAATATTAGTCGCTGGAAAATAAAACTGTAATACGGCATAGTTAGTTAATCCATGAAATAATCTGGTAGTAGATATGAATTAAATCATTACTCTTAGTGGTAGATATGAATTGAAATATTAAGTACTTATGTTTTACATCAGTAACATTGATAATGTAAAGCCGTTACCTCTAATCTTAGTAAATCCAATTTATGTATGAAATTTAGATCAAACATCTTTGCACATAGCATTCTGTCTGCAGGAAACATTCACGAATTATGCTCGTATCATAATTGTTAATTACGATGAGTCATATGGCAGTATTAAATTAATTCGACAAATTCTACACCGGAATCGACCTGATGAAGTAAGAGCATCGATGTGAGCAGTAAAAAAAGATCAAACAATCATTGATAATGATTCAACTAGGCATGAGCTAAATGAAAACTGAAAGATGTTGACATTGAAAGGTAGCAAGCTCTGAGCCCCTATTTAATGTGTACTGTACAATTCATCAAAAATTATGTGATATTGTGTTGTGATTTCAATTCAGATTTTGTTTTTGATTTTAGATAAAAAAGATGCTTCGAAAAACAAACTGGCCAATAGGACACAGGATACGAGCAAATTTATGGCAAGAAATTTGTAAATTAAACAATCCAGACTTTAATGCATACAAAGTTAGTTATGAATCTGATGGATGGGAAGAGAACGTTGGTAATTTTTTCATACGATTTTATTGCTATTATCCTGTCTATTTTGAGTCGCTAAGGTTAAGGCATGCAAAATGCAGCAATTTGTGCAGCAAAGGTATCAGTATCATGTTGGTAAACAGAGAAGTATAATCTTTTTAAAAAACCTCTTGTTCTTATTACAGTCTATTAAGAATTGGATTGTTAGACTTTTGAAAGGTATGGATCTAAAAAATTAATTTAGGTTTGTTTAGGGCATTTTCCACCAAAAGCTCGTTTTCTGCAATCTTCGGATACTATACATGAATGTTATGAATTAAATGCAGATGGCTTAAAAGCATTACATCGTCTCATTCGTGCTTTAGATGCTACAATCCCAACATTAAATTATGCACCGGTTAGTGTTAGATTGATTTTTATTTATTTTACATTATTTTTTGACTTACTTAACATATTTGTTACACACTAACCGGTGTTTTTGAAAATATTTCAGTCAAACTATAATAAAATGGTTTTATTTATTCTCAGCATTTTTAATAATTGTGGCTCTTTCTTATAGTTGATGCAACCTATACTTGCATTATGTTTGCATTATATGAGTGAGGACGATGCATATGCATGTGTTTTTTGGATCCTTAAAAATCATTCAAATTACATGAAATGTTCTGCTTTGGCAAGTAAGGCTACGGGGTACACACTGCTTGCACTTATAAAAGTCCACAAGGTATGCTTTCCCCACCCTTTTTTCTCTCTTCTTGATTATCCAAGACATTTTGTTGTTAGAACCGATTTAGATATTCAAGCCTTAACATTTCTCAAACTGTTCTCCTTTTTTTTTCTTTTTTTTTTTTTTTTGAGAACCATTTTTTTTCTCTTAGTTTTTCCTGATTAATTTCGTTAAAAATTACTGGTGACAAATTATGTAGTCACTTCGCTTATTTATTAGATTGTTGTTAATTGAAGGCGTCGAACTTTAGAAAACAGCTACATTTTAGTTTTTCTTTTCAGACAGCAGTTTATAAAACATTGAAAAATTGGATTGGGTCGTCTGACGAAAACATTTTGGCAAGTGCTTTGCAAAGTTGGCCAAAATGGATATTTTGCGCCTTGCCGTTTGAACATTTAATTTGTGTTATTGATTGCTACTTATATGAAGGGAGCAAAGTATTAATGAGAGTTGCTATCACATTGCTTAACATTTGGCACAAAAACATCAAAGTTGGTTTTATATATTTTATATTTTCATGGAAATTGTAGAATTAATAATAAAGTTTTGATATTTCCCAGTGAACTCCTCGGCAGCTGTTCGGAAACTGTGAGATGATAAATTGCATATTGAAGAATCCTATTACAATTTTGTAAATTTTCTTTAAACTTTTAACTTAACCATATTTGTATGTTCCACTTTATCTGACATGTTGAGAATTTTTAGGACTACAATTTATGGTTCTTAAAAAAGCCTTTATCTTCAGATGCCTGACGATTTGACGGACAAAACTTGCCAAGAACGGATTGATTTATTTGCGGAAAGGATTGTTCAGAGCGTAAAACATCAAAATATTTCTGTTACGGTTTTACTCGAAACCGCTATAAAGATTCGGAATTTTAGTGGTACAAAAATTACTCGTTTTCAGGACAAGTATGAGAAAATGGTAGATTTTTTTTCCTTTTTTTTATCGTAAGTAAAATAGTTTCTCCACTTTTTTCTATGGTTGATTACGGCGCATTTTAGACAGAAAGTTACTGGTGCCACTGAGGAGCAGAATTAGTATAAATACAGAGCTAAGATTTGGCTGTTTTTTCAAACTGGAATTGTCACTGAATTTGATTAACCTTGAGCATGTCCTCTTAACTTTCCTGCTAAACTAAAAAGCTTAAAGAAAATCCCCGTACGAAGTAGGAGAACAAGTACTACCATCTAAATCGATGATTAGACGAAGTAATCTCATTTTAATGAACCAACCAAGACAATTGCTTTTTTTAACAACTAGCCGCAATGAAGAAATGAAACTACAACCTTTTAAAATATTTCATTATCATAAAAGTAAAGGAAACGAAGATTACTGCATCTTTTTGTTTTTTGTTTTTTTTTTCTTTTATGTGCTCTGCATAAAAGTGGTCTCAATGTTAAACTAACAGTACTTATACCTTCTCCATTTTATTCGCAAATAATGTCATTTTCATATAACCGTTATATATTTTTTAGTTCAGCTAATTACAGCACATTTTTTTGGGAATTTTATGGCGTGAAGTGACTTATAGTTGGTGATGGTTTTCAGATTTTGAAGTCAGAGGGTCCTGATCTTCCAGTGGTTGATTTACCAGCCATGTATATAAAGCCCTTTATTTCAAGCATTATTTCATCAGAAACTGCCTTTAAATTAATGTGTTATTTGCCGGAAAAATATCAACTCAAAACTCCGATGTTGATTTACCATCTTTGCGATGATGGGACCTCATTCTATCGTTTGTGGACAAAGTGAGCGGATATTTCATTTTCAGTATGAAATTGTTTAAGTTCTAAAAAAAAAAAAAAAAACCACAACACATAAAGATGTTAGTATAAGATTATCATCACAGCTAAAATTCAGCATTTGTAGGATCGATGAAGCGGAATCAACGTTGTTAATTATCAAGACTGATAAAAGTGAAATTTTGGGAGCTTTCTGTGACGAACCGTGGGGAAATCGAATAAAGACATGTGAGCGTGGGAATGGAAAATACTTTGGCGGTGGTCTTTCGTTTGTTTGGAATTTAGACGATAATAATCAAGTGAATAAATATGATTGGAAAGAAAATCAAGCAGAATGTTTTATGGCTGCTCCGTGTGGTCGAGAGCCTACTGTTTTAATGGTACGTTTTCTAAAGTTCACCTTTTTGTATATATGCAGCATACTACAGTTTCAAAAACATATGCTCCGTGGTTCTGAAAATTTGTTTATTTTATTAAACGGCCATTTTAGAATTATGACTTGAAACGTATTTTTTGTATCGTGAATTGACTAATTTTTTTAATTGCGTGAGCAAGTGTTTGAATTTTTTTATTAACCAAGATTCATCTATCATCGTGTCTTTAACTAGCTATCGTTTATAGACTGATAATTAATTGTGCATCCTATATTTCACTAAATAGTGTTGAAAAACTCAGTGAAACAAATCAAGTTTTTGGCGTAATTCTTATTTTGTAGATTGGTGGGAATGCAATATATATTGTGGATGAATTGATAAAAGGTTCAACCTTACCGGGTAAAACATTCCAAAATCCAGAACTGGTGAAGGGTGGTACATTTAAAATCGATGACATGGAGGTAATTTTTTAACAATCGCAAAAGCTTTAAATATTGACAGAGAGACTATAAATTTTCAGGTATCTGTTTAATCGAAATTGTAAATCTGTGTGCTGAACTTGTCTTTTTGAGATGAAATTGAAATTTCGAAGAAACTTGAATTTTTAAAAATCTGGAGAATAAAGCACTAAAACAGATACTTTTTTATTTTCCAGGTATTTCAAGTATTTGAATAAGAATCAAATGTTGAGGAAAAAGTCAAGGGTTTGAATGCAAGGAGTTCTGTAAAAACATTTGGATGCATGAGAGGACAAGTTTCTTTTTTCCGGAATCTGTTTTTTTCTCAGTTGTATTTTTTTTATGAAGTTTTGAGATGTATAAAATAGATTGTATGGGTATATGAATTTTGTCGCTGTTATGTAGTAGTATTTAATAATAATCAGTGCCGAATAAATACCTATTTAAGAACATAGATGAGTGATAACTTGTAGTATTAAAAATTACTTGAGTTTAGAATTGTTTCAAAATTTTTATTTCCAGCCACTTTCAATCTTCAGTATTTAAATACATGGTGAGAAAGTTTATTTTTTTCTCAACGGCTCTAGAGGTAATAGCAAATGTTGTTACTTTTTTATTTGATCTGATGTCAAATGTTTAGTGTTTTTTGTTTTCAGTATTTTAAATATGTTGACGAGTGAAGTGATTTTACGGTGTATGTGATGATCTTTTACTATGCTAATTTATATTTTTATGCTATATTTCGAATATTGTAGTTTAATATTGCATCTAATAATCGCAATTTCCCAAAAATTTCCGTGGAATTGTGATTTAACGACAAAAATTACTTATTGCCTAATGACATTTCGTTTGTCGCCGTGATTCTGTTCGTGGTGACGTTATATATCAACACTGGTTGGAATAGTAAATTTTAATTTCAAATTGATGGATTTCTGAATCTGTTATGTCAGCAGTGTAAGAGAATTTTTTAAATATTAAGAGATTTCGTAGTGAAATAGTGGAAAACTCGTAAAAAATGGGGGCGAGATATCGTAGTAGTTATTAGACATGGAAATCCAGATGGTGATGCGGAATTCAGTTGAATTAAAATCAGACTGATATTTGATATATGACATTTCATCTATCCTATTTTTAGTTAATAGTTCAAAAGTGATGAACAATCTAATTATTTCAAAAACTGATCAATTATTGCATTTCGTATTTCCAAATCGATGTTACGAAATAATGCTTCTGAAATATAACCTCCTTCATCGTAAGTCTTTGATACCTATGCCCTTGACAGGTACTGTCCTGGAAACACCTGTTTACTTTTTTTTATATAGCAATACAAAGGAACCACCAGCAGATAGTGTAACTGTTAAATAATGCATCTAAAATTTGTCACCATTGTAACTAACAGTGGACTTCGACAGGTTAATGAGAAATAGATTAGAGAGGTCGCCTGTCAGATAAGCTTTGCTAATTCTGAACTGCGATAAAGCAGTACAAATGTCACTTTTTCTGCTCACTTTGTACTATCTAAGCATCGATGGTAGGACTTACTTTATAAACCGTAATGAATTTTTATGAATCAGTCAGTTATCCAATCAGGAAAATTGCAGAGGAATGTATATCGATGCTTATGTCGCGACTGCTTGGACTTGGTATAACTGTTATGTCATTGCTTCTATTCATACCACAAATTTTGAAAATTCAGTTTGCACAGTCGGGTGAAGGGATTTCATTGTTATCGCAGTTGTTGGGATTGTTTGCCTGTTTTGCAGTAACATCATATAGTTACGCTAAGGGATATGTTTTCGTGTTTGTTTATTTCTAATTTCCATTTCGGTTACTTTTAATTGTGTAAGCTTGTAAATCCGTCTTACAATTTAGTTCCGCAGAGCAGCGCTAGGAGCAGTATTTATTGAAACAGATAATTCATAAAGGAAAGTGTACATTGTTGATTATGTTAATTATTCTTCTGAAACACTGTTAGTGAGTCCAACATCATTTGATAAGAATCGATATCATCTGAAGTATTTCCCATTATTTCAAATTATGTAGTGTTAAGGTATATTCTCTTCGTGTTGAAGAAGATACGGTAAATACAGGATAGAATTGCTGAAACTAATAGAAATAATTGTTTAGTCTATTTATTCCAGTAATCTATGGACAGGCTGTTTCAGATTAAATTCATATAACTTATATGAATGAATCGTTTCAGTCAGTGGGGTGATTCATTCTTTGTGACAGTCCAAATGGTCATAATAATTATCCAGATTTTATGGTTTTCATCACGGCAAGCTTACGCAGCAGTATTTCTTGCATTTTGCTGGACAATTAGTTGTGCAGTAATGGGTAAATATATCCCAATTGACGTTCTCGCGTTGCTTCAAGCTATTAGCATCCCAGTTGTTATTGTTGCCAAAGTAAGATTTAAATGAATATTTGTGAATTTCTGAATGCCTGCTTGCTAGTGGAATGCTATCACGTCTTTGGCTACGTTATATAATGCATCAGTATGAAAGTGACAGTTGTGTTAATAGACATCGTTCAATAATTAAGTATATGAATGAAGTCGAATCACTCAATTTATCGCTTCAACATTTCTCTTGCACATAGCTATTTGGAAACTGTTACATGAGACATACCATATACCCCAACGCGAAATCCAACGATAATAATGTCAAGGCAATGCAAAGCAGACCTTTGGACGCTGTAGACTAACTGAGAAAGCACTATGGCAGGATGTCCGGTATAAAGCCCTTAAGATGGGTGGATAAAAATCATGTCTTTCCTGGAATAACTTGCCAAGATTGGCTGAATAATTCTGATAATACACATTATTTGTTTTATTCACAGCTTCACATATTTTCCTTTCAGTTTTTACAAATTCGGGCAAACTACCAGCGACAGAGTACTGGCCAACTATCAGTGATCTCAGTATTTCTCCAATTCGCAGGATGTTTGGCTCGAATATTTACTTCCTTAAAAGAAACGGGTGACCAGCTGATGGTTATCACTTACATTATTGCAGCTTTATTAAATGGCATAATTTCTGTTCAGTTTCTTCTCTACTGGAGCAATCTGGAAATGAAGAAAAAGGTGTCTTGAAACACACAAATATTGTTTTAATTATACCATCAGAGTTTCGCTTACTAATATCAAATAAAACTGATACACAAGAAAGTTGCCCGCTACAACTCGTCCAAGGTAGTGGAAACTTTGCATCCAACAGTCATTGAGGACTTTCTCATTCTTTTTTAAGGCAAGCTATAAGTCCTCCGAAAAGAATTGCTAAAACCATTTCCCTAAAGCTTTTAATCTAGATATCCCATCGAACACGCCAAACGTTCTAAAACTAAAAATGCTTCCGATTTACCAAGCGCTGTGAACTTGCTAAACGTCTTAACTTACGACTGCTCCTCTACCTCAAATATATCCATCATTAGTAAGGCATAATGGTTTTTGTCAGTTCTAATTAACAGTAATACAAACACTGATTTTTTGAAAGAACGTGTTAATGAAATGATATCATAATGAATTAGTTGAAGTAGTCGTTTCTCGATGTTATTCACCTTCGGACTAATCAGCTGTGTGAGAAGACGTCGCATGAAAAGTTTAATATTAGCCCGCACTTAAATCCCTTTCTGAAAGACGAAGAACTGATGTCAAGAAAAGAAGAAAATTGATGTATTTTCGTTGTTTATTACCGGCATATTTCCGGTGGTAGCTGAAGAAAAACTTTATTCTCACAAATCCCGAACAATCACTCACACTAGGTACCGTGGATAAAAAAGTGGTACATTCAGGATGGAAATGCCTTGATACGCCTGGCTCACTACGTAACGCATCCTCTGGCCAACAAAATGAGGCCACCCTTCCCATAAAGTTGGTAGAGCATTAAGTCCGATTGGTACTTCGTGGTCGATGACAACTTTTTTGCAGTAATCATTTCTTCGGTATAGAGTACGTTAAAATGAAATCAGCAAATAGATCGGTGCTCGCGTCATCCTTATATTAGACTCTTCGCGTGTCCGCGTAACCCGCTGGATCATTTTACGAAACAGAATCGAATGATTGAGAGAAGTTTGAGTGGAATCTCGAATTCCCACTCTTTCTCTTTGGCTTCAGAATTATTAAGTGTAAAAAAATGGTAATAGCCATCCCTTTTCTAAATGTTTAAATCAGTTGAGGACAAGTAAATAGGAAAATTGTTGAGTCATTCCATACGAAAGACTTTTCAGGACTTTATTTAACTGACGACTAATGGCATTCCTGAAACGATGGTGTTTCACGTTCATTAACTATTGGAAAATGGTCGGAAATGACTACCTGGTGGTCGTTGAAGATTTGTTGAAAGATGCGAAAAGGAGACCGATTATAACGGCAATGAAGCTATTGCCACTTGGAAGTGTATTTTATGCTTATAAAACTAATCCGAATGAAAGGTAGTGTACGTCCGTGTATAGTGCACATTTCATACGTACAATTTAACGTTTGCCATCGTGGTTCTTGATGTCCTGAAAATAAGCCAAGAATGATGCACATTGTCGAAGTTTCCAGATTCCTTCCAGTTTCAGTTTACATCTTCTTCCGATGTTATGTAGTCTTCACATTTATATAGTTATTTTAATAGCTGGCTTAATTTACATTTATCGCGTACACAGTTGCATGCATTTCGGTAAGACGAGGTCTCTACGCTAAGTTTGCTGAAGCAATTTTTATTCATTTTGACATTTCAGTAATTTTCTTACAGAGATATGCTCAATTCGTTGGTGGAAAAAAGGCGACAAATGGTACTTGTACCAAATTCAATACATAGTAAAACGGCGGACGATGAAATTGCATCGCGTACACTGTATGTAGATCAAAATCGACTCAAACTTATTGATTGCATTCTATTTTCCATCCTCATCAAACTACCTGAGTGTGATGATGTAAGACACCATTTCACTGTTTCATTTATTTTATTTTGTTTTGTCCGTGATGGCGTTATGATATTCCGTTGCAATTTCTTTTAGAATCTCTCCTGTCTCGTTTATTGTTATTTCATTATGAAAGAGTATTGACCATAAGTATTAGGTTTAATTAACCAAACATTGGGATAAGGTCTTCGAGAGTTCTGGAAGGGAGAAGTGAGATATGTAGTATGTCAAATACAATGCCGCAGCAGAAATGAGATATCTTACTGATAAGTAAAAGCGACGGAATGCCTGTGATAAAAACAGTTACTAAA